TTATGTCTCAAGCTAGATTAATCTTGGGGTTTTTTTGCCTTGGCCTTTCTAATTTTGTCCCTTCGTGCTTCTGTTGGGTTTTTTTAATATTCATCCTCTGTAATTTCACCTAGTTTCCACTTTTGTATGACTCTTTTTTGAGTTTCAGGTCTTTGAATATCTCCTGGTTACACCAGCTGAGTCCCTTATTTACACTAACTGAGGATCTGGCTCTCATAGTTTTAGTCCTGTGTAAATTCAAGCTTAGGAATGATTAAAGGTGTTGTACTTGGCAATCAAAACAAATAGTGTCTGTTTAAATTTATCTCCATATATGGAGCTAATTGACTGGACGTTCACCATAGGTACGTCTAAATTTCCCTACCTCCACCCTCACATGAGCCAGTCCATAGAGCAAGATCCATGTTCATAGAGTCATAGAATCATAGAATATCAGGGTTGGAAGGGACCTCAGGAGGTCATCTAGTCCAACTCCTGCTCAAAGCAGGACTGATCCCTGACTAAATCATCCCAGCCAGGGCTTTGTCAAGCCTGACCTTAAAAACTTCTAGGGAAGGAGATTCCACCACCTCCCTAGGTAACACATTCCAGTGTTTCACCACCCTCATGTTGTTTGAATAGAGGATTTAGATGGATTTTGACTACCTTGCTACTCACAAAAATCCAGTGAGAGCTGGGAGATTTCCCCAGTAATCTCTGTGGGGAAGATGTTTAAAAGTTGGTGTCTAAACTGTGCCTGTAAAATTTGCACATGACCCAACCGCATGCACAAAAATGCATTTGTGTTTACAAACCAGTGAGCACAAAGTGGCAACCATGTGGAGAAAATGCATACTGATGTGTGCAATTACCTATACCACAGGCACAAACATTCAGAAATGTGGGTATCTATCCCGATGCTAATAATATTAAAATATTCAAAGAAAACAAATGTTTTAAAAGAAAAGCTAGTCACCAAAAATATGCCAAATCTGCAATCCACTGAACTCAGTGGACTACCAGCCTAAGTAAGGGCTACTCTCATAAGTAAGAGCTTCAGGCCTGAGCCCAGGAGTTTTGGTTTTCTCAGATGTATTGATCTGGTTTTTTTTTCAATTTGGGCAAAATGCAGAGGGCCAGCACAAGGCAGAGGCACTACGTAAGCCCTATTTAGAGTGTGTTACACAGCCCAGTCTTCCTACTGACTCAGACTGTTTTTTCCCAGTTGCCCAGCTGGGCCATCTAGGAGAATGCCTCCCATGATGGCTGCTCTATTGCTTGGCAGTTAGACCCATTTTGCCTTAATAGCTTGTGACTGTATCTACCTGTGGGGGATTGTGTTGAAACCATCTGCTCCCTCTAAAACAGGCCAACATACCATCTCAGAAATCTAGTACATAAACCACATTTTGGGGTACAGATCAATATTCACCTCACATGCATCTCGCATTCATCACAGAGCTTTGCAGTGGGGTTTGAGCAGTGCATAGGCCTTGTGGTGGACCTCTGCAGGGGGTGAATTTCACCATTAAAGAAATATAAAATTCATCTATTTTAGGCATGCGTAAGAATAATTCCTATCTAGTTTTTCCTGCTTTGCAAGCATTGTCACACTAAGGGCCTGAAAAGGGCAGGGAGAAAATCTGTAATGTTCATTTATTGTGTCAGTTACCCAAAACTGGTATTTATCAACACAGGTTACTCAGCATGCAAGCAGACACTCCTCCAGCATGCAGGTGGAGGGCGGGAGTGGAGGAATGAGGAAGCAGAAGGAAGACATAAAATGAAAAAGAATGGAGAGGGAGGGAAAGGGGGATAGAAATGACATGAGCAAGCAATTCACGTGCAAGTGCATTGGCCGCAGGCAAGTGTGATCTCCGTGATCACATGGTGAGCATGCCACCCGCATGTCATATAACCCAGCTCAGATCAAGAGGAATATTTCCAACAGAATAATCTGTTTTGAATGTATTTTTCATCTCTGTTGGGCAGGTGTGTTTGCTCTTCCTGTTTTTATTGCCCGAGCATGTTCTGGGCATTGTAGTCAAAGCACTGAAAGGCAAATTCTCCCATGGGGTTAACGTTGCTATTCTTCCCTTTTAATGAGGTGCACAAAGAGAGCCATACTCCTCTTCACTGTTGCGAACAAAAGTTGATTCCCGCATTAGTCTAACAGGTTAATTTTTTCATCATGATAATTATGCTAGCAAAGTTTCAAATTACAGATGAGAAAATTAGTCCAACATTTTCAGGCTACAGTTTTTTACTGCTTTGGAATATCGGAGTATCTCTCTGTCTGTGAAAATCACTGTCTGCTGATTTTATAAAAGGGCCTCCTTTGCTTGTTGAAGTAGCAGCCTACAATCAGACAAAAGCTTAGGGATTCAATCAGGTTGTATATCTAGGACTTCTAATGCATGTATAGCACCTCTTAAAGGGCTGGATCCTGCAAGTCTTACTCAGGAAAAACTCCCATTAGCTTCAAATGGAGTTTTGACTAAGCAAGTAAGGCAAGATTGAACCCAACCACAATGGGATGGTGAAATGTAGTTATGGCATTTGGGACACATCCTCAGCTGGTGTAAATTAGCAAGTTGTAAACTAACTTCCATGGTGCTTCATCCATTTAAATTATTTGAGGATCTGTTTGTTATTCCAACCCTCTTTGTAAAGTGGTTCTCAGATTCAAAACCCAAATCCAAGTGTTTATGATTTGCCTAGTTGTTTCAACTTTCACAGTAGTTCAGTGGTCGCTTCCACTCCATAATGTGTAAAGATGAGTCTGGGTTGCAAAACTGGATGTGGATCTGAACATCCCCATAGTTTGGGGGTGCTTGGAACCCAGAGTTTTGGTTCAGACCCCTCTAACGCTAGGATGAGTTGGGAGATCTTTTGGTTTTATTGTTTCATTTTGTCCATACGTATTTTCAGGAAACAAGCAGTACATTGGGTTACACACTGAGGAGTAACTGTACAACTAGAAAGGTGAAAAACTCATTTTAAAGAGAGCCTGAGAAATATGTTTACATAAGACAAGTACAAATATGCACATAGATTCAAGCATCTTCTGCCCCTCTCCAGACATTTCAATTTTACTTGAGCTCAGGGATGAACAGGTCAATGCCTGGTATCTTTTTCGTTCTATAGTCAAGCAACATAATAATTATCTATGAAATTGTAACACCCCCATAGTTAAACAAAAATACAGTTTGTTTGTTTTCATTTCTGACCTGATATCTCTTTGCCTGGATCACATTGGAGGATATGTCACACTATATCTAACTCGATGCATTGCAACACTGTTTGGCTGATCAGACGCAACATGATAAAGTTCAGTGAAACTCAGACTAGGTCAAGATTTTTTTTGGTATCTACCACTGGAGTTGAAAAGTGAGGGCCAACTCCTGAACTGGTATACACTGCCAGAGCTCCATTGACTTCGAGAAAACAATATCAGCTGAGGTCACTAGAGTCCAGCCATTTTTTTAATAGAGAACAGCTACAGGGTTTCAAAAAATCAGCCAATTCCTGCCATCCATACTTGGTCCTTACTCAGGCAAAACTCCCAATGCAGAGTTTCACTTCAACAGGAGATTGGCTTCAGTTGAGTCTTATTTCAATCCTCTCGGATTCGGGAGGGCCTTGCAAAATTAGTCCAAGTTTCAGGATGAGAATTATAGACCTGATCCTGTCCTGTTGCAAGCTATTGAAATTTTGCCACTGACCACAATGGGAGCACTTTGGGGCCCTTAAATACCTAGTGTTTTCATGGATCATTAATGTCAAGTTCCATTTTCCTCTTAAAGCTATCAGGTAACTCTTGTGCTGAGAGGCACTGAGATTTGTCAAATTGCCCTTCATATCTCCACTGACAACTGAATGTATGTCATCGTTTGCGCTAGTTATTTCAAAGCAAATTATTTTAACTGAAAAGACTTTCTATAGGATTATGCCCCCCATTGTTGTGTTTTTATGCATAACTTCTTATCTATTCTTGATTATACTAGAAGAGAGTTATGAATATTTATGGTTAGAATTTATAATTTACTGCTGTGCCTTTTCTACTGATTAATTCAAGGACACTTCATTTTTTAAGATATCTGGCTCCTGGAAAAGTCAAACACTTTCTCATGGACACCTAATGTAAACCCTGAATATTCATCTACCAGCAAAAATCAAATGCAGGTTCTCCTTCTCTCAAGAAACCACTGTAGTCCCCTAGTTTTGCCTGATTTTTGCAAGAAAAATGAGATCTGAATCCTTGTAACAAACAAGCAAAGTAGTGTAAGGATAAGGAGTTTGTCTTTAACTAGAATGCATAATTCAGTAGTCATTGCCAGAGCATCAGATGTTGACAGAGAAAATAACTGATTTTTTTTCAACTGTTAAGGGAATGGAGGAGGTGAGGGGGTGGATTTTTGCCCATGCTTCACCCTGGGCTGAGCTGACATTTGCTCTCTTTTCTCTCATTCCCTCCCATAAGCTGGTTACATACAAGTAATAACACAGGAGGGAGCAGGAATCATGGCTTCCTCTGTGACTGTATATAGCAATTACAAGCCAACAAGATTGTTCCATGGTTAATAAAGAGTAGCATAGCCCTTCCTCCACCCTTCCAAGAACACCATGTCCCTTGGGTAGGGCGAATTGGGGCGACTGCTCCAGGCCCCATGCTTTGGGGGGCCCCACAGGCCAGTGCGATTGGCCAGCGCAGTCGGTCCTGGAAGAGACGAATCCATCACTTCCGCCCCGGACCCCGCACCTCCCTAGGGACTGCCTATATAGGCCCAGGAATGAGGCCTGAGGATATTTGAAACTCATGTTATTATAAGGCCCTGCTTGCATGCTACAATATTGAACATTTTATGTTTAGTCACCCTTTTCCTTGCAATTTTTACAAGCCCCTTGCTGCCATTGCTTGGAAGGCAGGCCCTGCAAAGTTCTGACTGCTAGACTGTTTCACATTCACTAACAATAGGACTGGTAGATTTTTTTTTTAAAGAAAAACCAAAAATCCTTACTTTAGTAAGTTCTATTTCAAATTTCTCAGAAAGCACTTGGGCTGTGATTTCCAGCATCTCGACCTTCTGCACAGGAAACGTGGTGTCTGGCAGGTACACTGAGCATTGGCACACTCCATTTTCATTCAAAGAGCCGGTTACATTGGCAAATGGCTGTAAGAACAAGTTTGTTTCAGAAAGCAAATAAAAAATTGTCAATATGCTACTAGGAAACAACAGCAAAGGACTGACAACAGTCCCCAGGCAGGGAAAAGTTGAGCTATAATAATACTGACCCTGAAAGCATTTATTCATTACAACTTTCTTCCAATAAACTCAAAGTATTTTCCTATATTAATTCATTAAGCTTCACCCCACCTCTATAGAGGTAGTTAAATTCTATTATAACCATTTTAACACTGGCAAAACTGAGGTACAGGAAAGTTAAGTGATTTTTCTAAGATCAGACAGTCAATGGCAGAGCAGGAAATAATAATATTAAATCTTATTGGCAGTCTTTCCATTGTTTTGAATGGTCTTTGCATCAGATCCAGTTAGTGCTTTTAGTCCATTAATTTCAAAGCACTTTACAAAGTTTGTTTGGATTTTACTGATGGAAGAATCCATAGAAATTGATCTATTTTCATGGAAAATTTTGATTTTGACTAAACCCTATTTTCCCCATTGGGAATATGATTCATTTGATATTTTTCAGCTAGCCCTGGTAAACAGGTTGTATACTCAACCACATTCACATGAGAGCTGCTATGCCAGCTACTGAAGGGTACTGAGTGGAGTAAGGGACATTTATCACTGTTCCATCAGTGCACAGAGGTATAAACAAGTTTTTAAATTGGGGCAGTTAGAGTTAAAAAATAATAAAATATTGGCTGTTGAATATTGCTTTTATGAGTAGTTTTGTACCATGACTAAATTTGTCCACTTCCAATAAAGTGAGATAAACAGGCTTCTGTTCCACATTCAGTGCTTCCTTTATTGATTAACACAATCCCTAAATTTGGGCTCCTAAATCCCTTTTAAAAATTAAATTGAGACACCTAAATTGGTTAGGCATTGCAACACTGAGTGCAGGAACGCTTAAATAGCTTTTAAAAATCTGGGCCTCAGTCATTATTAAAAATGGGCCTTGGGCTCCTAACTCCCTTAGGTGCTTTTGGAATTGTCACCCTCAGACTCCTCACTTTACTGGATTTGAATTCTGCTCAGCAGGAATGGTGAAAAAAGTAGCAGAGAGGAAAACATCCAATTAACAGTCAAATACGGTTATTGTACTTACCTTTGATAAGGCCCCCATCTGTGCTAGCCTGTAGGGAGGGGGCATTATTTTATCCCTCAGACAGATTACAAACTGCCCTTTATCTATGTTTATTTAATAAATTAAATAACTCTTTTAAAAGTGGATTTAAACTATCAAAAACCCACCAAACGTCAATGGATGAATTCAACTACTTTTTAAAAAATTATTATTTGTATTGTAGGAGTGCCTAGTTACCCCCTCTGAGGTTTGGCCTCATTATGCTAGAAGATGTACATATACATACTAAAAGACAGCCCCTGCCTTAAAGAGGTTAAAGTCTAAATAGACAAGATAGCTAAAGGGTGGGAGGAAGAAATATTGTTATCCCTGTTTTACCAATGAGGAACCCCGTTGAAGGCAATGGGAATTTTGCTGTTGACTTCAACGGGAGCCAGCATTTGACCCAGAAAGTTTAAGTAACTTGGCCAAGATCACACATGACATGTGGCAGGGGCAAGAATTCTGTCTTTTATGGCACCCATTTCCCTACTATCTGAGCACCTCAGAATCTTTAATGTATTTGTCTTACAACACCTCTGTGAGGTAGGGAAGTGCTATTATCCCCATTGTACAGACGGGGAACTGAGGCACAGAGAAGTTAATGACTTGCCCGAGATCACACAAGAAGTCTGTGGCAGAGTAGTGATCTGAATCCAGCTCTCCAAAGCCCCAACCACTGGACCATCCCAAATTCCCTGAGCCCCGGGCTAGTGCCTTAAGACTATCCTTCCTCCAAAAAAATAAATGGCATCAATAGGTTGAATCACTGAACTCCTATAAGAACTAAGAATTAAAGGTTGATGAAGTTTAGCAGGAATTTAGAGGGACAGGTTTCAGTAGAACTATTCAGCATGAACAATGGTTGCAGATTTCAAGGCCTTTGCACATTAACATCACATCAAGTTCATAGCTTCCTCAGACTTAATATGATGTTGACAGAATTGTTTCATTTCTTCCATTGACATTATAGTATGCTGGGTTCATGATACTGATGAAACCGTAAGCAGTATTATTATTAATTATTATTATTATTTATTAAGATCTTCCTGGGTCCCTGAGTCCTTTGATCACAGTGCAATGTCAATAGAATTATTAATTTTGGTCATAACATCTTTCCAAGTCTTACCTAAAAATATGCTGAAGTTTGGCTCTTTTTGGTTGGTTGGTTGGTTGGTGTGTGTATTTTTAAAAGCTAAATAGGCTTCATTTAGTATTTAACAGAGAGCAAACTGTCCTAGCCTGTAGCAAGGACTTGACTGCAAAAGTTCTGTTTGTAAAATTAAATCATGTATTACATAAAGGTATCTGAGTCTAAAAGAAATATTATTCAGCCTGGTCCAAATATTTGTAGCTTAATAAAGTAAATGAGAGCTGCTAGGTGCTGAGCATTTCTGAAAACCAGGCCATTTATTTGGGTGATGTAGCGGGGTAGACACTCCGCTCGGGCCCAGAGGGGTTTAAGATAGCCCTGGGAGAGGGCTGGGGCAGGGGAAGAGCTGGACTGATTGGCAGAGTAGCCACAGCTGGGGGCCATGCCCCAAACAGACCCAGCGGGCCAGGAGCAGAAGAGCACTCTCTCTAGCTCTGAGAAGGAGGGATCTGGCTGCAGAGACCTGAATAGAGGACCCAGTTTGGAGCAGGGCTGGGGAAAGGCCAAGGGAGCCTGGGAGCTCTGGCCTAGGAAAGCCCCAGGCTGCAGGCCTGGGAAGGCCTATTAGGCACGGGGGTTGCAGGGGCAGCCACGGGTAGGCAGAAGCAGCAGTCCAAACCCAACCTTGCCGGTGATGAGTGGCTCATACTGCAGTCTGCGCCAGGGTACGGGGGCTAGTTGGTGACTGGCAGGAGCCTACGACTGAGGCGAGGTAGGGATAGTGGGTGGGGGGTTCCCTGGGAGGGGGAGACCTAGAACTGTGGGGCACTGCCAGGGGGCAGCACCCAGTGAAAGGGGCACCGGGGTCCTGGGAGGGACACAGGAGTCAGCAGTAAGGTGAGACACCAGCCTGAAGAGGGCGCTCCGGAGGCTGGAACGCTAATTCCCTGAGATGACCAGCAGGAGGTGCTGCCGGTGAGTCTGCGCCTGGTTACAGTGACTATATATGGATTTAGGAACCTAAATTTAGGGAATTAATTTTGAAAATCCTGAGCTCAAGTTTCAGCTTAAGCAATTTGGCACAGAGGACACAGAGTCCTGTGACAGCCAGGATTAGACCTCTAAACAACCTGATTTGCGCTTAATTTACTAGACCACACATCTCTCTTATCTTAATGATGATGTTTACTATAGCTTTCCAAGAACAGTAAATAATGGTATACCTCTCTCATAAACTGAGGTTTGTTGAGTGTGGCCTGAGGTTCGGTCAGATATTCCACCAAGGTAGGAAGAGGTGTAGTCTGGAAAGGAAACAAAAACACCTGTTACAATGCAACACACTACGTGTCCCATCCCTATTTAAACCATGACCCCCCTCTCCCGACAGACAGTCAGCATTCCAGATTCGTCAGTATTCTGAAACACTTTGATTTTGTTAAGGGAGCCATCTCCAGCAGCTCTAACGTTGATTGGGATTTCTGACTGACTGCTGAGACAGTTAATGTTTCTTCTGATACAACGCTGTTTCGTGGAATCCTTCCTTTGAAAAAAGCTTCATGTGATCAATGAAAGGCCTCGAATGCTCAGTCTGTGCAAAACAATGTGCATTATTTATGCTAAAGTAATATATACCCTCTCACTGCCATCTTATGGAATAAGGTGTCAGGTCCTACCCCTCCGTAGCACTGGCAAGATTGGATGTCACTCTTGAACCTTAACATGCATCCCTGGGAGTCTACAGTAATCAAGGGCCTGTGTACTGCACAAAATACTATACCGCAGGGACGCAGCCAACCACCGTACGCAGCTGAGCTCCACCGAATGGGAACCGTGGCAATCTCCAATGCTTACAAAACCATTTGATAAACTATGCATCAAATTATGTGATTAAACTAGAGGAGTGTGGGGCACGAAGGGGCTTGCACAAGGAGGCAGCTGCTAGCCAGCCGTACAAGAGCAATGTGCCATTCCTGCAGGAGCTCCGCATGGCAGGTGTCCTCCCCAGCTGCACAACTTCAAAGCCACGCTGAAGCAGAACTCCATTCTGACAGAGCTCTGGAGCCCCAGTTTTAGCCAGCTTCCCCTGAAGGCCTCCCACTACTTCATCCAAGAACCTGTTCAGCTCCTCATGCTGCTGCATCCCCATCACCTGCTCCCTCATTCCCCAAACCAGTCAGACAGTCCCACTCCTAAGGAGCCCCTAAAACAGCCAGCTGGACAGCTGTGGAACTGGAAGATGACAGGAAAAGGGCTACTTGTTTAAACTGATTCAGAGAAAACAGGATTTTTTTGTGCCAGCTTGTCAAAAAGATAATGTACCCAACCATTTGTCTGGCCCCCTGATAGTGTTGTACAGGGGGGCTGATGGTGATTAATAGCAGAGTTACAAGGAGCATCATACATTTTACAAATGTCTGCATGAATTATGGTTTACCCAAGAGTGAGCATAATGAGGAGAAATCTCTGACATACTAAATTCCCCCGTCCTCAGCTTATCATTATGTATTTACACTTCAGCCTTGATTCTTACTGCCAGGAATTGCCACTGCTTATTCATGCTGCAGTGAAAAAACATTCCCTCCCCTTAGATGCTGAGTTCCCTACGTGAGTCCACAGCACTTTCAAGGCCTACTAGACTGCATTAATAGTATCACCTAGAACTCATATAGTGCATTATGTTTTCAAAGTGCTGGACAAATGAACCTGAGACACGGAGATCTAGATCCAGATCTTCAACACTCCAAAAGGCTGAGGGGTGTTTGCATGTGTGGTTTTGGATTGAGTTTGTCTCAAGTACAAACCATATTTAATTAAATATGACCTGCATTTTGCATTTAAACTCTATTCAGATTCTCGATGGGAGTTGCATTTGCCTAACTGAAGGCAGAATTTTGGCTTTTTAAAACAGTGTAATCTGTTTTCGGATTTATAATTAAATCCCAGCACATTTGTTAAAGGCAGTATTTTACACTTGCTACCTGCAGAGAGCCCACAGAACAAGTGGAGATCTGAAAACTTGCCTCAAATAATTTTAAAAGGTGTTCCTAGCAACCTGAGTAGTAAGAGGAAAAAAGAATACATTAGAGCCTGTGAAAATTATAATACGCATCTTACCACATTATGGAGTGCAATGGCATTTTGTAGAAAGACCAGCAGCACAGCCAAGTTTGCACACTTCATCTTCTCAGCAAACAGGTATGATGGAGAAAGGACAGACAGAGCCCTTTTATAGTGTGCTCTGGGAATTCCCCCAGCAGGAGTTTTGTGCTTAGAAAGAGGAACTTGTGTAATATTTATTGACACTTCTCATAAAGGTGAGTGAATCTCAGCACAGAAAGTGACTGAACTACTATTATACAAAGATAACTTTTTCATTGCCTGCTGTCAAAAATTAACCACCCTGCCCTTTTGTACCGCAAAGCCCTTCCTCATTCCCAGTATCTAATTTTGTTCTCTGAGAGCCACAAAGGAATAAGTACACAATGGACAGAACAATTAATTTGATAGGACTGCAGTGATTAAAATGCATTCTTGGTGGTTTGGGGGGGGGGGGAGAATAGCTGCTTCCTTTTACTGGACTTTTATCCGTATTTTTATTGTAAATCCTTTCAGGAGCACATAGACAACCTGGACCACATCATCTTCCTAACCCTGCTTCTAAACTCAGATGGGGTGAAAGCACCTCAAGTTAGGTCATTTCACATACAATGTCAAAGGAGCATCCTTCCCTTTCTCTAAGCCCCTGGATGCCTTTTAGCATGAGCACATAGGGCTCCACAAATTTGGGCTAAAGGCCAACTATTGGAGAGGGGAGGGGGATGAGCTAAAGAACAGCCCCAGCAAACCTGAAAGATAATGCTAAGACAGTCCGCGTTAATGCCCATCCTATAGCTTTGGTACCATGGCTCCTGAAGCAGAGGAGATCAGGGAACAGCACACTGTGGAATGGCCCTTTGCGTGGGAGCACGAAGATCTACATGGTTTGCCAGCAGATTTCAAGACATTGAGGCAATCGATGAGCTGGTCTCATGGCATTTAGGCACTTCCACTTCCAGTGCTCACTGGAGCCAGGCGTAGAGGCAAGCAAGGATGAAAATGGCTATCCAGACATTTCTGAACTGGCAGGAAGGCTAGGTGTGAGTTTGGGTGGAAGTTCAGGTCAGTTCTCCTACCTTTAATTAGTGTCTGCAGTTGTATTTTTAAACAATACATACTTATTGTGGAGAATGGAGCTTGGTTCTGTTTTCTGAGTACTGCTTCTTTAAGTGTAAGAAAATAAGGGAGGGGGAGGATTCTGAGACCTTACACAGAGGGTACGCAACGCCTGAGTGCCGCAGAGCTGCGTTCCACACGAGCTCCCCCAGCATGCAGGTGAGGCAGAGGTGGCACAGGCTGAAGGAAGCCACTATGGCAGCTGTAGGCTCTTTGGGGATTTCCCTTACACAGGAGAAATCCCATCTGGCCAGTTCTATCAGGTTTCTCACCTGTTTGTGCTGGTGGCGCAGAGCAAAGGGGCCCCATATCGGAACATAATATTCTACCCCACCTATTTCCGGACTTACAAAACAAGTTAGAAACTTTATGTCCCTCCAGATATGAGGTTATTCCAATTCCTCTGAGTAATAACAGCACTTCACATGTACCGCATCTTCCTTCTGAAGAATGTAAAGAGCTTTTCAGCAGTGGATTAATATTATCATCTCCAATTTACAGAGGGGACAACTAAGACTTAGACCAGTTCTACACTAGAAACTTTTGCAGGTATTATAATGTTGATTAGGGATGTGATTTTTTTTTTTTAACAATACATCTATACTGGCAAAAGTCCTAGTGTAGGTGCATAAAAGTCCTTTTGTACCAGCATAAGTCTTTATTTGTTTGGGGAACTGGTATAAGCTACACCAGCAAAAGCACATTTTTGCTGGTAGATGCTGAATGTACACTAGAAGGGTTTAGTATAACTAGACCTGTACAGCTATATCAACAAACCTTTTTCTGCCGTAGCATAGACTGAGAGAGGAAGCCAGTGTGACAAAGTCAGGAGTAGAATCCAAGTCTCCAAAGTTCCAGCCTCTGCTTCATAGGTGTGATCCTAGGCCCACTGAAGTTAATGGAAAGACTCCCACTGATATAAATGAGCTTTGGATCTGGCCCTATCACCACTTGACTGCACTTTTCACTAGGGCAGAGGTGTTGTGTAGATAGTCCCAAGACATGCTATATTCTGTGGACAGCACAAATTGTTTCTCATCAATTCTTGGGACATATAGTTCTCAGTGTGTCAGATTTCTATGTTTACCTTCTATTGTTGACTTTGAATAAGCACACAGATTTATTTTGTATAAATTTGCAATAGAGCAAATTTAGAGCTACACTGTTAACTTCGTGTGCAAAATATTACGCAGTCTAAACATCCGACGAGTGACAGCAGTTAGAACACAAACAAACTGGCAGTGTGGGAATTGGGAGGACAAGGTAACTAAAATATTTGCTTGTCTGGTTCATTTCTAATCACAAACAGGCCACCCAAGGTGTTCCAAATGTTCTGCTTAATATGCGGGATTCTGTTTTAATTGAGAAAATTATGGGCCCTATTGTCCCATCTGTCTTTGTGGGTGGAAGGGATGAAAACTTGGTGGATCTCTTGCTGAGAAGAGCAGAACAGTGTAGTGCTTCCTCTGTGGCCTGGTAGCGTCCCTTCTCCCAACCTCCATGGTAGTCCCTCCACAAGTAAGTGGATCCATGCTCTTTCAGGGGTAGGCATAAGGGAGCAGGGCTGGGGGAAGGGTGGGAAAATCATGCTGTCTATGCATCATCCCCCACACCAGCACTAAGGAGAATCCTCACCTAGGTGAATATTGACCTATGGCCTGATCCAAACCCTCATCCAAACACTCTCGTTTACTTCAGCAGACCTTGAATCAGACTCCTAGTGAGTATGAACTTGTGCGCGCACCCTCTTTAGACTGTGGAATGTCCCCAAGGGAATCTGCATCTAGGGGAGGTAGAAGCTCCCTGTGAATGGGATGGGGCAAAGGGATAGGAGGGGGAGTGAGGAGCGGTGCTGAGGCTCATCAGGGGGAAGGGAGAGGCAGGCGGCTCCACACTGGAAAGGAGGGTTTCAGATGTTCCCACCTGCTCCTGGGCCCATTCCAGCCCCTCTGGGTCCCTGGTGCCTGGCCCCACGGCAGCCACTCCAGCCACTCTGTGTCCTGCTCTCACCTCTGTCCCTCTCCCCCCACAGACATGTAAGTTTACCTGGGGGCAGAGCCCCCATAATGTTTCCATTGCAGGGACACCAGCCTGCCCCCTCCCACCGCCACCGCCAGTTCCACCACCCCTGCTGCCACCAGCAGGTGGAGGAAAACCCTGACAAAAAAGCATATTTTTATTTGAAGGTGCAAGACATTACAGCTCATATATATAACCCCACTTAAATTAAATGAATTACAATAAACAGCTTTGTTGCCAGCTTCCCTTGGACCAGAAGGCTGTGATATACACTGTAGTTACCAAAAAGAAGACCAAAGCCCCTATAAGATAGCCATAAATACATACCACAAACTACCAAGCAGCCCTGAGTTTAAAATTGACAGCCCAGCAGGAGAAGTCTCAAAGTATGAGCTCAAGGAAACAAAGTAATTAAAAGCAGAGTGACTTAAATGGGACTTAAGCACATGCTTAAATTTAGTACAAGCTTAAGTGATTTCCTGTAGGAGGCCTGTACAGGTCTGACAAAGGGAAGATGATAAAGGAGGAGGAAAGGGGTGGAAAACACATTGAGAAGGATCGGTTGAAGGAAAGATGACCTGTGCCAATTGGATTCATTATACTTCATTATTTTTAATACGTAAAATCTTAATCTTTCTGTGTAAGGATAAGTAATGTCCCCGAAGCTTCACTTGGCATCTAGAATTTGAGTGAGTCAAATCACACTGGTGAGTCACAAAGGTAGTGACAGACCCAACCCATCCACGGCATGTAACATCCTTCTGCTGGACCCTCTCGAGAGCTGTGGGAAGGTATTCATTAAAGTCGCAATTCCAGCCCCCTTCCCTATCTAGCCACTCCTGCCAATTAAGTGTTATTGGCGGATCCCGAGAATTTCCTGGCTTAAGGTAAAGGCGGTTGAAACATATTTTGTCAGTCTCAGGATTCAGGGCCCCATTTTATTTAGCAGGTCTCTTGGACCTTTCTATCCCCCTTTGCAGGATATGGCTTGCTTTCTGCATGAGGATAATGATTTTATTCAGGGGAATTCTCTCAGAGTTATCATGCTCTGTTTTAACCCTTAAAGAGACAGTTCCTCAAGGTCTAACTGCCCCAGAATAGTCTGGTCATCATTACGACTGCTTTCTACGGTAAGACATGTTCTATAGTTCAGTATTCTTACTCTGCTCAAAGTCTACCGAAAAATTAAGGCCTATAAGATCATTTATATCCATATATATATATATATTGTGTATGAATAATTCCTGTTATGTCTTATTAATCTCTTCAGCTATGTTTGAGAGTGACATTTTTACCCAGGGTCAGTATTATAAGTTCCTGGACCACTGCCCTCTTTTGGGTGTGTTCATACTGCTTCAATTTGTTGGCATCAAGAGACAATTCCCTTCAACTAGAGACCAGAGAGTCAACCTCCTGGACTTCTTTTGAGTTTATGTATTGCTCAGCCTCTGGGGATTCTGACATTTCAATTAATTTCATAGGGCTTGGTTTTCGGATTCTAGATTCTGGGTAGCATTTCCCAGGTCTTTCATTATAATTTATGATCTGTGAATAAGTCAATGGCCATGCTAACTATTTTCTCAGAGCTAATTTCTTTCCTAGTTTTTCTGGCAAAACAGAGACCTTTCTGTTATTACCATTATTGTGTCTCTACCTCAGAAATTTGTCTTTAGAAGATCTTTCAGATGCCAAATCAGAAAGAACAATAAAGGTATAAAACACACATTAGTTAAGTAATTTTAATTAAGCAAAAAGAAAAGGAGTACTTGTGGCACCTTAGAGACTAACCAATTTATTTGAGCATGAGCTTTCGTGAGCTACAGCTCACTTCATCAGATGTTTACCGTGGAAGCTGCAGCAGACTTTATATACACACAGAGAATATGAAACAATACCTCCTCCCACCCCACTGTCCTGCTGGTAATAGCTTATCTAAAGTGATCATCAGGTG